TAAAATTTAGGTATGGATAGATAGATAGACTCATAGTTATGGATAGATAGATAGACTAGGATAGATAGATAGACTCAAAGTTATGGATAGATAGATAGACTAGGTATGGATAGAAAGATAGACTGATATTCCAGATTGTAAAGATCGTCCAAGATTTTCTCATACCTGTGCTTGTAAATACTTCATATTCAAGATGGTTTCTGGGATAGCTCGCAACAAAACAGAAAAGGAGAAAACACATTTTTTAGAGGCCTGGTCGTTAGGTGGAGACAGAGGGGGTAGAGAACAGAACAATCTGGAATAGGATGATGATTCTTTAATTCAAATTATGATTTTGATGGTACATTAAGCATGAGACATAGCAATTATTCATTGTAAACAATAATAAGTTGCTAAAAAATACGATTTGCTTTGAAAAAACATAATCATTTATTTCTTGCTTTAATGCTGTCTTGCGATTCCACAGTTTTCTGGTTCTCATTGTAATTGAACAATTATTTTAAATTACAATTCAAATCTTGAGATATGATAAATCATATTATAGCTAAATTATCTTCTTTCTTTTAGTAATGACAAAGACTTGATATTAAACCCCATTCTTTTAAAATACTCGATTTTTAAATGTTCAACTTTCTGAAGTTGAAATTCCTATCATGGGTCAAAATTTGTGAATTATTCAAAAAAAATAAATGTTATTTTGTGAAAAAAAATTTTCAGTGGAAAATTCACATTGAAAGATTTAGACATCAAAATTTTAACGATATTTGACGCTGAGGTTGAGGTGACTCCAGAATCCATAACATTTTAATTATTAATAACAAATGTTTCTTAAAGTTTTATCCCGACCTATTGAAAGAAAAAAACCTTTTATGATTTGACCGTTTAAAGATTGAACTACTCTCACTTTGTTTAAAGGGAGTGTTCGCGAAAAATGAAACGGGGTATAGGCTTACGTCGAAAATAATCGATGGTGATCGCTACTAATCCTACTTCTATCTTTTGCGTCTGTAAGAAGAAAAGTACTAAAATCGGCTAATACCGATGATCGTAGCCGCCATACAAAGTCATAAAGTTGCAATATTCAATTCGGATCGTAAAAATCATCGATTTTTTATCGATGCAATCGTATATAGTTGATATTTTCATAATATTTTTTACTGGTTTCATTAACGATGTACTTTAAACGACGATTTTTTTTGTCGCTAGGTGTCGTTGGAATCTCTTTCACGTGGAACTACAGAAGCATCGAAAGCAGAGAAACCTAGTGGCCAAATAATATTGTATATGAAACAAGTAAAAAATATTATGAAATATCAATTTATACCAATGCATTGAAAAAAATCGATGATTTTAAGTTGCAATATCTGAATGATTTGTGCGGAATTAAATGGAGTCGAATATTGAAGCTTTCTGAATTTGAATGGACGCTACTTTCTTCGATTCGAGTCGTTTCTAACAATTTTCTCTTTATAGACGCAACAGATAGAAGTAAGATTAGTAGAAATCGCAATTGAATATTTTTCGACGTAAGCCTATACCCCTTACATTTTTCGCGAAAACTCCATTTAAAAAGTGTGTACATAAAAAAATTACTCAAACTTGATTAAATTAGGCTTTAAAGTTAAAAAAATCTAAACTTAAATATTCTTTGTTTTCTTAATAAGAATTTTTCTTAAAAGACAGTTATTATTTCAGAGCAATGTAATTTTAGGGACTGATCTTAAAACTAATTAAAACAAAATATTTAAAACGAAAACTCCCCATCTTTACCCCCTGGATAGAATCAGTAGATCTTTAGCACACGACAATAATATTTATTCTCAGAACAGATGCTTCCATAGGTTGGTTCCTTGCTAACTAATAGCTTGGTCAGATGCTTCCATAGTTTGGTTCCTTGCTAACTAATAGCTTGTTAAGATGGTTCAATTGCGTGGTTCCTTGCTAACTAATAGCTTGGTCAGATGCTTCCATAGTTTGGTTCCTTCCTAACTAATAGCTTGGTCGGATGCTTCTATTTATTTATCTATCTATCTATCTATCTATCTATATCCCTGATTTGTATGCTGACATTGATATGACTCTAATAATGATAAATGATCCATGTATATATATATGTATATATAGTATAGAAGCGTGAGCTGAACTATCTATCTATCTTTATACTCGTGAGAATACAGATTAGCGGAATATTTTGATCAGGACTGACACTATTTGATAATCACCACGCGATCAATATCATGATCATCACAACGATCAATATTTTATGATCACCCCAGAGATCAATATTGGATGATCACCACAGAGATCAATATTTGATGATCACCATAGCTTTCAATCATTGATGATCACCACTGATTGCAATCTTGATGATTAATGATCACCACAGTGATTAATAGTTGATGATCGATACGCTATTTTTATTTGAAAATCACCACAGCGATCAATATTTAATGATCACTACGCTATTTTTGTTTTATGATCACCTCAACGATCACTATTTAATGATTACCCAAGCTATTAATATTTAATGATCTCCAATCAATATGTATTATCACCCTAAAGATCAATATTTGATGATCTCTACAGCGATAAATATTTGATGATCATCAAGTGATCAATATTTGATATTTATCATAATAATTAATATGTTTTGATCACCACGCGTTCAATATTTGATGATCATCACGTGATCAATATTTGATATTTATCATAATAATTAATATGTTTTGATCACCACGCGATCAATATTTGATGATCATCACGTGATCAATATTTGCTGATCAACTCAACAATCAATATTTATATTACCCCAGTAACCAACATCAGCTAGGAATTGATAGTTTTCACTTTTCACAAAAAAGAAACAATAATTTTCAAAATGGTCGTTTTTTAAACGAAAAGTGTTATAATGTTTCAACGTTTCGTTAACGAAGTTAGTTTGTCTTTGGTTATTGACGACATACCTTTACATTTGCAAAAAACTATCGTTTTTCAATATAGTTTTGGTTTTAGTTTTTCGATCAAAAGATCGTCAGTTTTTACCCGTCGTTTTTTAAAAAAAAAATGTTCGTCAGTTTTGGAGATCAATTCAAACGAATTTTTTGGTTTTAAATGTGATAACAACCCCCTAACATTAGCTAGAAAAAATTTGTTGTCAACCTTCAACCTAAAACCTTTTTTTACATTGGTTGGGCGTGAATTGTTCGAAAGTCAGGATATCTGTGGATAAGATGGGGAATCCTGGGGGCAATTGGGGGTTTTGTACCTTTGATATTTCAAACTATTAATTCTGGTAGATCAAATAGTCTAAGTTTGAAATATCAAAGGTTTTCACCATCAGGTTACAAAGATATAGGGGGGGGTATAATCTTCGACTCTTTAATAGGATTAGGATAGAAGTGAACACACATTACATTATCATAAGCTTTGAGTCATTGATGCAGAGTGTACACTGCAATACACTGATTTCCTTCCCCCTACCCTTCACTATGTTTTCTTTTACGCTTTCTTTTATTCCCCTATTTTCTTTACAAGTCCCTTATTCTCCTGTTTAATCTCCTTCCTTTTCTACAATTTTATTTAGTTCACCATTACTTTTTTTCCTACCTCCTCTATGTACATTGCCCTTGCACTTTCCTTTGTTCACCGTATTGAATTATTAATTCAATTTAATCTTTGCCAAATTATTTTACATTTTTTACCAGTTTATCTCATACTGTTAGTCGATTTATTTCTTTACCAATTCCTTTAATTATCTTTTCCCATTTCTTTACTCCCCTTTACCCATTTTTAGATTTTTCTATCCATTTCTTTTATGCTCTTTGCCTATCTATTTTATACTCTTTACCCAATTTTATTGCCTTCTCCCAATGTTTCATTAATTCGTTCCCTTTCTCCATTCATTTTATCCCCATTACTCAATTATTTCATTCCTTTTCCATTCCATCCAATTCAATACCTTTTTTCCATTTATCCATTTCTGTTCTTTTCTTTCGTACATTTCTATTACTCTTTTTAGATTTCACAAATTATATACACTTTTTGAAAATCTTCATTTGAAAGCACTATTGAGTGGAGATGCTTCAGGCTTTTTATATGATAAGATTTAGACTTTTTAGATTGTGAACTAATACTTCACTTAATATGTAATTTTCTTTAATCTATGGATGCACTATTTTGATTGTTGTATAGTGTAAAAACAAATGTAAGTTTTAGTTTTAAATTATTAATCCCAAATTCTGTCCTGACACATCAAACACATCAAACAGTTTAATAATTGTCATTTTTCTTGTATTTATGAATTTACAAATTTATTGTTCTATTATTTAAAAACAAGGTTTTAAATTATTAATCCCAAATTCAACCCTGACACATCAAACACATCAAACAGTTTAACAATTGGCATTTTTCTTGTATTTATAAATATGCAATTTTGATTGTTGTATTATTTAAAAACAAGGTTTAAATTATTAATCCCAAATTCAATCCTGACACATCAAGTTAAATAATCTACAGGGGTAAAATAAAAACCAACACTGAGGCAATGAATTAACAGATAACATCTTTTCCTTCTCCCCCTGTAAGTTATTTTTGGTTGGATTACATAGTTTAAATGTGGAACAATAAAGTGGTAGGAGATAAAGAAAAACGTTGAAAAGGTTGGATATACGATGACTCCCCCCCCCCTCCCTCCTCCCCCTTGATGGTATCTTGAATTCACGGATCCTATCTTTACGGCCCTGGTTTCCATCTCTCCTCACCTCAAACAGAATCTAAAAAAAATCTCCCAAATTCATCATCATAAAAATCCACGAAATCGCGTGAAAATAATCCGCGAGAGAAACTTCCCAAATAATTAATATTCCCGAGTTTGGTTTGGGGTGAATTATTGACCAATAAGGTGAAGGTATCCTGGGGTGGTTAGCCCAGACCCCCTCACCTCAGATTAGGATAAAAATCAGGACAAAATACTAAGAGCTCAGTTTCTCACTGATAATCACAGGGTTAAGATCTCAACAATGGAGTACCTAACCTCAACCCCATCATACCAGTACAACCAATACTATTCAAACTTTCAAGCTGAATCCTATCCAGGATATATGTACAGCATGTACAGCCAAGAGTCGCCATCATCATCATCTTCATCCTCCTCCACCTCATCCTCCCCTCCACCTAGACCATCTTCCATAGAATCCAGCTCACCTCTCAAGTTTACTTCGCTCAAGGTTAACCAGGAGCCAAGACAATGTGTGAACTGTGGAGTATCTTCTACTCCTCTCTGGAGACGAGATAATGGTGGTAATTATCTCTGCAATGCCTGCGGTCTTTATCACAAGATGAACGGAACCAACAGACCTCTCATTAAACCAAAGAACTCTAGAGTCTCCTCAAGTAAGAGGGATGGAACCAGCTGTAGCAACTGCTCTTCAACAACAACAACACTGTGGAGAAGAACAACAGCAGGAGAGATTGTCTGTAATGCCTGTGGACTCTATCAGAAGGTTCATAACCAACCAAGACCAATTTCACTCAAGAAAGAAAACATCCTGACCAGAAAGCGAAAATCCTCGAAAAGTTCCTCCCCTTTGTTTAATTCCTATCTTCCGTATCAAGATCTTTACTTGGGAGGATTGAAACAGGACGCTTTAAACTTTCAAGATTATTCTAGAACTTCAGCTCTTCCAACATCCACATTTTCCTCCTCGTCATTACCCTTCCTCCCCCAGCCTCCTTCTTCATCTTATCCGTCTTCGTATCCGTCCTATTCCTTCAATCCGTCCTCCTGGTCTGCTGAATCCTCCTGGGCCTCCAACCAGCTGTACTCCAACCAATTCTACCAGAGTAAACCAACCCTACTCAGTTGTAAACCAATCCAGGAGGAGATGAAACCAATTCTACCCAGCAAACCAACACCCAACCAATACTTTAATCCTATGTTTTAATTATTATTCCTAATATATTATTGTAACTGTGATAGATAAAAATAACTAAATTTTGCAAATAAAAAAGAAAAATTTAATTAAAACTGCCTACTTTTATTTTGTAGAACGTAACATATATAAGTTTAGGTACAAAGGAATTGAGTTTTTGCCACATAATCAGATTTTCCAATTCCTATAACTTAGCAACTCATTTTCCTAGACCTTTGATATTTCAAACTATTAATTCTGGTAGATCAAATAGTCTAAGTTTGAAATATCAAAGGTTTTCACCATCAGGTTACAAAGATATAGGGGTTAGAAAATGTAAGTTTGTTACAAAAACTAAATTCCTTTAATATGTTTGCTAGTTTGTATAGATTCTTTAAAGAAACTTGCTTCAAACTTTAACTTTCTAATCTCTATATTTTAAAACATTTAATTTTTGAAATTTGACTGTTGGATTAAACAGAATTCATAGTTTCAGATATCAAAGGCCTCAAAGTTAGAGACAAGTTTTCAGATTTTTTTTAAACCAATTTTGCATTACAAATTGGAATCAGGGGGGGGGATATTTTTCATCGACTTTTCAATTTCCTAAGAAGGAGGAACAGAAATGCAATACAAGATTCTATGGGTTTAGTATTTTTTATCTTAAATTATAATTGGTGTTCTATATTATGATTTTAACAACAAGGACGGATATTCTTTAATCAAGAAACCAGAACTGCACTGGGGCATAAAAATTGTTAATATGATAAATGAGAAAATAAACATTTTTCAGTTTTACTGAACATTTTATTGTCTTTAATCGTCTTCTACAGTCTTGAACTTAGATTTTAACCCTGTTAAGACTGAGGGGGGAGTCACCGTGAAACCCCCCCCTCTTTCGTTTTTTTGCGATAACTCAATAAGTATTGGTCAGAGGTTGTTCAAATTTTTGACTTTTCTAATTAATACCTGCCCCTTACTTTAGGTGTAAAGCTGGGCTTTTGTACCCTGACTGCCTGAGTCTTCAGGCATACCTTTTACCTTTACCACACTATATCTATATTTAGACCTACTTCCGGTCATTGGATTTCAACATTTTATAACTCTTTGGAAAGCCTAGAACAAAAGAAAGCAGATCGCATAATTTCCGCAAAGAAATCTTGCGTAGACATTATAACACAACTATTAAGGAGTTTTGCACAATTTTAGTTTTTTTTGAATACACATTTAAATGATGAAGATTTTGCTAATTTTTTTGCATATTTTAATTTGCTGGGTCAAGGGTTTATTAAAAATGTGTAATTTGTCATATTTCGCGCAATTTCTGCTTTTTTGCACACTTTTCGGTAAATAACTGGATTTTGCAATAAATGGTTGGATTTTTTCAAATTTGCATTGTTTTCTTCAGATTATTGAAGTAGACCCCAAGTACCTTCCAAAAATGTATCAAATATTATATATTTGTATCACAAGAAGAAATTAGATGGGGGGTCACGTGACCCTCTCCCCCCAGACTATTTTGGGTAAACTAGACGTCAGTCAGAATAGAGTTAAGAAGTAGGAAGACTGTTTTTTGTTCATTTCTGAAAGAATTAAAAATTATCTAAATATTTACAAATTCAAAATTATTTCCTTTTTATGTGTTACGAGCTTCAGAGCTTAAGAACTTATGAGAGTAGATTTTGATCTTCAGATATCTTTAAGTTTCAGGATGAAAATATCAAAACATGAAAACGCTATTACTGAAATACCAAAAGAAAATTGTGAACAGATATTTCATATTTCAAAATTTTTGACTAAATGAACCCAACATCTCTTCATAACAACAATAGTTCACAAAAAGTAAGAAATATTGTTAAAAAGAAGAAAACAAGATGTTGTGTATCCAAGTAGAAAATATTTTTAACATTATCTTTTCTTTTAAAGATGAGAAAATTAATAAGAAATATTTTTGTTAAAGATAAGTAAATTAATGAGGAATAATTTTGTTAAAGATGAGTAAATTAATGAGGAATGATTTTTGTTAAAGATGAGTAAATTAATGAGGAATAATTTTGTTAAAGATGAGTAAATTAATAAGGAATATTTTTGTTAAAGATGAGTAAATTAATGATTTTGATAAAAATACTATAATCTCCGTATGACGAAGGTCTATCCGGACTCAATCTTAATCTTGTAAACTTGCCGTCTGCCAATCTGTCTGTCTGTTCGTCTCAACCCGGACATATCTATCTATCTATCTTTCTATCGATCTATCTATCTATCTATACATATATATAACTATCTTTCTATCTATCTAAGAGACTATAGGAATATTTTGGTTTATCAGTTGTTAAGAATCTTAAATCTTGTTAAATATTGATAACAGACAATTCTAAACAGTTTAACAGATTTCGAGTCTATGAATTTTAATCTGGATTTAGTTTATATCAGCTGTTAGAGTAAAAAAATAACCCCCCCCCCCCCCCCCCAACATACCAATTACAACCTAATTTGGAAATTATCCTAAAAAATTTGCCTGTTAAATATATATTGAACCACTATATAATTAATACTTACACAAAAATTCGTTTTTTGGTAAAGGAATTGAGCCTTTGCCACACTTTCTGATTTTCAAATCCCCATATCTTTGCAACCTGAAAGTGTTAACCTTCGATATTTCAAACTTAGATTATTTAAACTAGTAGAAGTCATTGTTTCAAATATCTAAAGTCAACGACATAAGGATGTATTTAATAAAATAGAAATTAGAAAATCTGGGGTTTATGGCAAAGACTGAATTACATGCAGAACTTGAAAATGTATTTGAAATTTCGAAATTCAGACTGTAGGATTTTTTTCTGAAGAAATTGCTCACAAATATTAAAATATACTTCTCTAAAAGTCAGTGAAACTTCTCTTTCGAACCAGTTTGATCTGTCTGTATGTTTAATCTGTCTGTATGTTTAATCTGTCTGTATGTTTTATCTGTCTGTATGTTTTATCTGTCTTGGTGTTTGATCTGTCTGTATGTTTGATCTGTCTGTATGTTTGATCTGTCTGTATGTTTTATCTGTCTGTATGTTTGATCTGTCTGTATGTTTTATCTGTCTGAATGTTTGATCTGTCAGTATGTTTGTTTGATCTGTCTGTATGTTTGATCTGTCTGTATGTTTGGTCTATCTGCATGTTTGATATGACAGCATGTTTGATCTGTCTGTATGTTTGATCTGTCTGTATGGGTGATCTGTCTGTAAGTTTGATCTGACAGTATGTTTGATCTGTCTATATGTCTAATTATTCTTTATGTAAGATCTGTTTGTATGTCTAATCAGTCTGTATGTTTAATTTGTCTTAATGTATAATCTGTCTGTAAATAATATCTTTCTGTATGTTTAATCAATCTGCATGTTTAATCTGTCTGCATGTTTAATCTTTCTGTATGTATTATCTGTATGTTTTTTTGTTATGTCTGTATGTTTGATCTTTCTTGTATGTCTGATAGGTCTGAATGTTTTATCTGTCTGTATGTTTTATCTGTCTGTATGTTTTATCTGTCTGTAAGGGTGATCTGTCTGTAAGGGTGATCTGTCTGTATGTTTGATCTGTCTGTATGTTTAATACGGCTGTATGTTTAATCTGTCTGTATGTTTGATCTGTCTGTATGTTTGATATGTCGGTATGTTTGATTTGTATGTATGTTTGATATGTCTGTATGTTTGATTTGTATGTCTTTTTGATCTGTCTGTATGTTTGATCTTTCTTGTATGTCTGATATGTCTGAATGTTTTATCTGTCTGTAAGAGTGATCTGTCTGTATGTTGGATCTGTCTGTATGTTTAATAAGTCTGTATGCTTGATCTGTCTGTATAATAGATTTGTATGTCTGTTTGATCTGTCTGTATGTTTAATCTGTCTGTATGTTTAATCTGTCTGTCTGTTTGATTTGTCTGTCTGTCTACGTGAAAGGTGTGATGGTCTGTGTCCTCCTATTGTCTCTAGTTAGGGATAAGTCCAGATTAATTTCCACCCCTCCCACTGTTTATTATCTGTCTATTCATCAATTCTTCATGTTTTATTGTTTCAGCCCTGAATTTAAGAGTAAATAATAAAAATAACAATAATTCTAAATATAACTTCAAGCTGTGTCTATTATCCCAGGATTACAGGGGGGGGGGGGGGGTTAACGTTGGTTGATGGAGCCTGCAAGATATAAAATAAAAATATTGATTGTATATTCATTTATTGTAGATTTATCTTTTATTCGTTTTTTTCTACCTTAGCCATCTCCTACTGGTGTAGAGAATACTAGCTTTAGGTACTGCTTCGAGTACTAAAGTATAGAATACCAGCTCCAGGTACTGTGCGGAGTACTAGAGAGTAGAATACTAGCTCCAGGACTGGCATGGGTAATGGTGTATAGAATACTAGAATACTATACTGTTGTATAGAATACTAGCTCCAGGTACTAATTTAATTACTGAAGAATATAATACAAGCTCCAGGTACTAATTTAAGTACTGTAGTATAGAATACTAGCTCCAGGTACTGCTACGAGTATTGGAGTTTAGAATACTAGCTCCAGGTACTATACTGAGTACTGGAGAGTAGAATACTAGCTCCAGGACTGGCATGAGTACTGGAGTATAGAATACTAGCTCCATGTACTAATTCAAGTACTGGAGTATATAATACTAGCTCCAGGTATTGCTAAGAGTTAGTGAGTATAGAATATCCAGGTGTTGCATGTTTTGTAGAGATTATAAAGAGATGATCTTCTATGATCTGCCTGAACTGCATAGTTGATCAGTTCATCTTCCAACCATCTACACAATATCTCGTCATACAACATAACAAGTTAGAAAGTCGAAAACAAGCATTCTTTCAAAACATACACACACTTAACATTTGGTATTTAAAGGGAGTGTTTAAGTTTTTTAAAGAAGGTGTGACGGTAATTGCATTTTTGAGCAAGGACTCATATTTCGAATGCTTAAACTTAGAGAGACATGTCTAGTTGTCTATAAAACTATGAATAGAGGTATAAAAATAGAAAATAGCTTAATTAGGAAAATAAGCAAAATGAATACAGGTTCAATTACTGACGAAATGAAAATGATGGCAGGATAGATAAGCAAAGGATAGAAAGATAGTATACCGGATGAAGGGGAGGGGGCATGGGAATTTGGGGGGCAGAAGGGAGTGGTTTAAAAGGAAAATGCCACGGAAGTAGGAGGGCAGGTTACCAATTATGACAAATAATGGTTTAAAAATAGAAAAAACTAAATGGACTCTCAGAGATTAATGCAAAGATAACATGGTAGGAAAGGGTGGACATTGTTTATCAACTAATGAATATTATAGAAAGATAGAAAATATGAATTAATGAAAAAATGGTATCATAAAGGATGGAATTAATAAATTTATAAAAAATAAATTTTTTATGTTTTTAAACTTATATGTAATGAATTAATAGAAAAATTAATTTCTATATTTACAACTTATAAATATCATAAGTGGATGAATAGAAAATATGCATTAAATGAACAAATGGTTTTCATACTTATCGTCTTATGAGAATCAGTTTTTATGTAAAGCATAAACTAAATGAAAGCTAATACAGCTAATAAAAATTATAAAGGGAGAGGGAAAAAAATTTTGAATTTATTATTTAAGCAATTTTGATCAGATAAAGATAAAAAACGACTTCTAAATATAATAAAAGGATAAACAAAATAAGTCAATAAATAAATGACTTTTAAATATTTATCAAAAAGAAATAAAAAGATGTATAACAGGATGAATAAAATGAATAAATGAATAAATGAAAGACCAATGAATGGACGGATAAAGAAGGAAAAAAATAAATGAATAAATAAAAAGTTTCGAACGGAGATAAATGTACTCATAATCAAAAAGAATTGAGTCTTTGTCACAAACTATAATTTTCCAAATCTCTATATCTTTGCAACCCAATGCCTTAGACCTTAGATATTTCAAACTATGAATTCTGATAGATGAAAGGATCTAAGTTTGAAATATCAAAGGTTTACACCATCAGGTGGAAAAAATATAGTTATTAGAAAATCAAATTTTGTTACAAAAAATCAATTCCTTTGAAGTGAGAGTGACACAGTTGTCTAGTGTTCAGCCACAAACGACGAGAAAAGGAAAATAAATATTGTAAACTTTATGAAAAATAATTATTGTTGACTTTACGAAAAATAATTATTGTTAACTTTATGAAAAATAATTATTGTTAACTTTATGAAAAATAATTATTGTTAACTTTATGAAAAATAGATATTGTTAACTTTATGAAAAATATATATTGTTAACTTTATGAAAAATAATTATTGTTGACTTTATGAAAAATAATTATTGTTAACTTTATGAAAAATAAATATTGTTAACTTTATGAAAAATAAATATTGCTAACTTTATGAAATGAAGACAGAACACATTCCAGAGACAGAAAAAGGACATTCGTTTTCAGATTTAGGTTCGAGCATTGTTATTTTTTAATTGAAAATCACTCGAAATTGCGCTTTCTGCAGTTCCTTTTAAATTCAATTAAATTCAAGCAAGAAATCAAACCTTTTAATTCTAGTTAAAGCCTATGCAAAAAATAAATAATTGATGCAGTTTATTCCTATTTCAAAAAGAGTAAAAGAACAACCCACTCTTTTAAAACTTTATAATCCCTAAATCTTTGAGTTCTGAGGCCGGAGACTTTAAACAATTTTAAATCGAGATTTTTAATATTTTTTGTATTTATCAATGAAAAATGCTTAAAAATTGTAAAACTTATGAAATTATTATGAAAATTTAGAGAAAGAAACTAAAAAATTTTCTAATCACTACATCTGTGCAACCTGATGATGTAAACATTTGAATATTTCAAACATAAACTTCTTAAAGTAGCAGCATTCATAATTTGAAATATCAAGCGTTTTTGATTTCGGGTTGCAAAAATATACGCATACGAAAATAAGAGTTTGAGACAAGAACTCAGTTCTAAAGTTTTATTCTTTAAAGTCAAATTTAGCGAAAACCCTTTTTTTCCTATCTGAAAATTATATTTTTCGTTAACTAATTATTCATTGAACAACATGACACAACTAATTATTATGTTTTTTTCTTTAAATTTGTCTCTAAAATTTACTCTAAATTTGTCTCTAACATAATGCAGAAAGTTTTGCTACACCGACAAAATTTATTAAAATACAGTTTTATATACACAAAATATCACAGAGATTAATAATAGGTTAAGGGTTGGGAGTGGTTAGTAATATCCAGGGTAAATATTATTATAAAACTGGTTCAGCTGGGACTGGTTCGAGGTGAAAGAAAACTGGAGATTATTTGAGGCGCTCCATTGATCAGAGAATTGAAGTGCTCCTGTATTGGAGGTTGGTAGTGTAGGGTAGCTAGGTTGGAGCTGGGTGGAGGGTTCAGAGGGAAAATATGAGCCGGGGAAAAAAGATGGATTATAGACCATTCCTTTTTTTCCTTGCTTTCTCTTACGGGTTAAAATATTGTCTTTTTTCAATGAGATTGGTCGCGGGGTGTTATGTATCTTCTGATAGAGTCCACAAGCATTACAGACAATCTCTCCTGCTGTTGTTCTTCTCCACAGTGTTGTTGTGGTTGAAGAGCAGTTACTACAGCTGGTTCCATCCCTCTTACTAGAGGAGACCCTAGAGTTCTTTGGTTTGATGAGAGGTCTGTTGGTTCCGTTCATCTTGTGATAAAGACCACAGGCATTGCAGAGATAATTACCACCATTATCTCGTCTCCAGAGAGGAGTAGAAGATACTCCACAGTTCACACATTGTCTGGTTTCTCTGAACCCTGCTCCCTGTTGAACCTGGTATCCGGAGTAGGACTCAGTGGATGAGGGTCTGGGTGGAGATATCGAACCTAGAGAGGAAGGAGAGGGAACCTGGTTCCAGTTTAAACTCCAAGGAACGGTTTGCAGCTCCTCAGGTTTTAAATCATATCCGCTCAGGGTAGGTTTCAAATCAGACTGGTTTAAATGAGAAAACTCTGATGTTTGAAAGTTGTTCCAAGGTTTGAAAAAATCTGCCATGTTGGGTTTGTCTCGCGAAGGACTGATGAAGGTTGCAGGAGATGAACTGATAACTCTACTCCCTCGGAGAATGGTTGCTCCGTCAACCCCCGCCAACCGCCACCCCGCCGCCCTGGCCAGATCTACTACCTCCACCAACCATCCAACTAGGAGAACCAATCAGAACACGAGATTGATCAGCTGTCGACCAATCAGAGAACAGCGCCACTCCCACTGGTCTTCTCATACCATCGGAATCAGAGATAGATTGATTGGTGGAAATATTAGATAGTTAGATAAATAGTTAGATAGTCGGATAGATAAATAGATAGATGGATAGTCAAACAGATAGATGGATAGTTAAATGGTTTGATAGTATGGTAGATAGATAGATTGATAAGTCGAAAAATAAAGATGTTAATACACAACATTATAAAGAGATTTATTTAACATTTTTCCAGATCTTTTAGCGGATGAAAATCTCATTTGTAGACAAATTTGTTCTTTAAATAGGATGAAGAAAACTATTTTCTTGTTTTTTCTTGGCTTTCTATGCATTCCTAGCGGAATATAACATGCACTTTTGAACCACTTTAAACTGGCAACCATTTCTAAAAATAAACAGAATGAGAAATAAACAAAAAAGAGTTAGAAAGAATAAACGTATCATTATACCATCCCCTTACTTGAGTTGGTTCCTCCAATTTACAGAACATATTTAGAAATGTAAACTTCACATTAAACTAAAGTGAATTGCATGTTCAATTGAAACCTTTTTTGTGTTTTGAGCATAACTACTCTTATTGGAAAGTTTTTGAGAAGTACACACGCTTTGAATTTCGAATACAGAGCGCGTCCTATATCTTATATGATTATATGCAAGCTTTAACGCCAAAATACGCACATACGACTCGGGAAAACCTGGTATTGTCACCACATAAATTTTTATATTATGCATTTTTTTAATTTATTTCAATTTAGAATTCTTATTTAAAAATGATGAAGGAAATTGCCAATTATCAATTTAAAGTTGTAACTTGAGGCAAAACACCTACACACCTATAGCAATAACTGTTGGTAAAGAAACTTAAAAGCTTATGAAACAAAAAGAAACCATAAAAACTCTCTGTATATTTTATTCATGTAATAAATGTATATATAATTATTAAATTTACATTTCAAATCTTTCAATGGCGAGGGGCGTGGGAGGGGTTATGTAATTATAATAAAGTTAATTACATACTGCACAATGCACATGCATTTATATATATATTACTTATTCTTTTATTTTTTTATTTCAAAATTTAATTATCTACTGTTTGCGTTTATTGATTTATAAAAACGTTTACAAATATTTTGTTTCTTGTCCTGTTTTTTAGACAAATCTCCCCCTCCCCCCTTTCTAAGAAAACTACGACGCCCGGCGACCCCTCCTCCCCCCACAGCCTGCACTATTACCCTGCTACTGATTGGTTAGATAAGACCCAATTATGAGTTTGATTATCAGACAGGTGTACTATTCCAGCGGGGGTATCTACCCGGTTTATTTATACAGTGGAGGTATCTACCTAGTTTCTTTATTCAGTGGGGGTATCTACATGGTTTATTCCCACAGTGGATGTATCTACCCTTTTTATTTATGCAGTAGAGGTATCTACCCTGTTTATTTATGCAGTAGAGGTATCTACCTAGTTATTTTTATAGAATTAGAAATATAAAGAATAAACAGAAACAATTATATTACCCGTAAGATTGAATCGCTTTACACCAATACCATTCAATATGTTCAAAAACATTTGGAAAAATGGAAATATTAGAATTGTTGGATTAATAATACCTCGAATTTGTATTTCATTGCCTTTGGGGATGCAAAACCTAACTTTTATACTTTTTTAAAAACTTTTTTCTACTATTTTTATACTAACTACTAACTTTTCTAAAGTTCACGACTTGTGAGACTTAAACGATTTTAAACGATTTTATTTTTGCACAAAAAATTGTTTTTACTTAAGTTCTGCTTAATTCATTCATTATTTTACTCTTTCTGAAAATATACATTAATTGTTTGCATATTTGAATATTAAGCTTTAATTAGCAAAATAAAGGAATCAGGAAGAAATATTTCTTTAAGAACTATTCAAAGTTTATTATCAGATTATTTAATTAGTTTTGCTAATTAGTTAATTAAAGATCAAAAATTAATTAATTGCACCCCTAATATATATGATTTATGACTCAAGATAAACATTATGTCAATTCGTTTAATTAGTCTTTACTGTTTCTTTAACTCTCAAGGATAAGGGATGAAAGAACAAACTCAAATTTTCTCATCCCTATTCCCTGTATTATTGCAACCTGATGGTATTAATCATTGATATTTAAAACTTTCATTTTTAATCATACAAAATTCATAGATTTAATTATCAAAGGTGTACGACTTCGGGTTAAATAAAATTGAAATGAAAAAATCGAAATTTATGACAAGAAATCAGTTCCTTTACAATATTAATAAGTTTAATGTTTTCAAATAAACTGAATACTTGGCACAACTCACAAGCTCTAATCTTAAAATGTTTGCAATGTTATGTTGTTGATATTTTAATATTTCGAACTATTAATTGTGACAGAGCAAAAAGATTATCAAGATCAAACATCTATTAATATTTCAAACTATGAATTTTGAAAGAGCAAATAGATTAGAAGATTAAACATCTATTAATATTTCAAACTATGAATTGTGAAAGAGCAAATAGATTAGAAGATTAAACATCTACTAATATTTCAAACTATGAATTGTGGAGATGGATATTTAACTTTTATTTGAGTCTTTAATGTAAATTTTACACAATTGTCATGGTGCACACTTGAAATATCAGATAACAAGGTCATTCATTGGTGTTCAACAATTCAAATTTTCAGGTTATTTTAACATTTTTAAAAAATGTCAATTTTATGAAACATTAAATCTTTTTAAAGGAACTATGAAAGTGTGTTTTTCTTAGAATATTTACCAAGAACTATAAAAAGACGAGGACGAAAAGGAATTGAGTCTTTGCCACAAACTCTGTTTTATTTAATCCTTATATCTTTGCAACCCAATGTCGTAGATCTTAGATATTTCAAACTTGAGTTAGTGACAAATACTCAATTCCTTTGCAGCATACTCTACTTTATAAATTAAACTCTCTGGAAAATATTAATATATATATATAAAGAAGGAAAAGGGAAGGAGGGGCAGGGAAGGGGGTGATAGGACAGGAAG